ACAATGTTGACGATGATGATGAACCAAAAACAAAATATTCCTCTAGCGTTTCATCAATATTTCTCCTGTCATTCAGTTTGTCACCAAAACTGTAGCCATTCAACATTTTACAACTCGAACTCACATTGTCATCATGTCTACTATTATTGCCCCCCACCCCTCCCCCCAAAAAGTAATGAATTATAAATAAATATTATTCTGATAAGTCAATAAAAATGTACGTATTTATTTTCTTTAATTCCCCCTTCTCTCTGAGCTGGGACGTCATCACTCTAACCTTCTCACCAGACCGGAAACGATCGTGTTCTTGTGTACCGGCTGCCTACGTCATCATAAACTGTGTAGCATTTCAGCACCCAGACCACAAGGGGTGATAACCCTAGGGTATTGCATCAGATTAACATAGCAAGCAAGGACAGGAGAATAAAATTATTGGGCCTAATGTATCCCTCATGTGCGATACGAGTTTCTTAAGTTCTCTAGTTTGTATTGACTGAATGTGTTAGTGTGTGTGTGTGTGTGGTTGGGGGTGGGGGGTTGTGTGTGTGAGTGTGTGTGTGTGTGTGTGTGTGTGTGTGTGTGTGTGTGTGTGTGTGTGTGTGTGTGTGTGTGTGTTTGTATGTATGTGGGGTGTATAGGTGTGCGTGTGTGTATGTGTGAGTGTGTATACATGTGTGTGAAAGGATGTGTGAGTGTGTTTGTGTGTGTATGTGTGTATGAGTGTGTGTGTACGTGTGTAAGTGTTTACGTGTGTGTTAGTGTGTGAGTATACGTGTGTGTGTGTGTGTGTGTGTTTGTGTGTGTATGTGCGTATACGCGTGCGTGTGTGTGTGTTCGTGTGTGTGCGTGTGTGAATGTTTTTTTTCTCTTGGGGGGGCATTTAGATCTTTACAAACTTAACTGAGTACAAAATATCTAGATTGAGAAACTCGAGAAACAAGTTCCAACCAATAAACTGTACGTAAGCTTATACTTGAGTATATTTGCGATATATATATTAGATTGCAAGAAGAGCCCACTAGCATGTATGTCAAGCTAGTAAAAAAAAAACTTCGCTGCCACGTATACAGAGACAGGGAGAAGGACATAGTGATTACACTAGTCTTTCTTTCGTACACACATTTCAGTTTATATAGAAACCAGTGAGGTAACGTAGATCTATATTGTGGTCAGTTTTATTCACATCCAATCTTCGGTACCTTTAGAACCCATAACTGCGTTGCAAGTGCCGTAAAACTCTTACTGAAACTAAAGAACAAAACGAATTTTATTCCGCGACTACTGTTGCATCTTGATACATGTATATACGCATTTTATTTGCTTACGAGTCGAATCCACGACTATAATGATGGAACCTAAGTCATTCTGTCTTGAGGAGTAGAATGAGACTAGACATTTTTCAAGAAGCGAGTCTGTCGCACTTTCCACACAATTACTGCATTAACAATGGTAATAATTTCATGTTACACTCACGCACACTCACACACACACACACACACACAAACACAAACACACACACAC